TCTACCCCGGGGGGAGGAAGGGTGCAGTGCCAGGGTGACCAAGGGCCTGGGAAGCTTCCTCCTCACAAACTTTTCAAAAGCTGCACTCTGATTTCTACTGATTTTCATTAGCCAGAGCTGAGTCCCAGGACCATGCCTAACCAAGGGCATCTGGGAAAGTAATTGTACCTGAGAACATTGAGCTGACGCCGATCAGGAAGAAAGGGAGAAAGGATTTTGAGAAGGTGACTAGCACTGCCTACCACAAGGAATAGAATGTAAATCCTTCCCTCTTTGGCCCTAATTGACTAAATAATTGCAAGAACAAATTCCACAGAAAGAAAAGAAAGATACAGTTATAAAATATAAATGTAAATATAAGCAAACCATCACAACAGATTGTTCCACTTGCAAATTTATCCCATTTAACACGGACTTTCCCCATTTTATCAAAATCTCTATACGTTTATTACCATAGAATAATGGTTGCATTTCTACCATTTGGGACAGAGCTGAGCGCATGGTAGGGATTCAGTGTGTGTGTGTGTGCGCGCGCACAAAGGGATGTATTGGTGTACAATACAGCACTGTACTGTGTAATGAGCTCGTGAACTATATCATGCATCTTGCTGGCATATTGTATGGAGCCCCTGCAGTGGAGGCTGGGGGGTGGGTTTTAGTTTTTGCTTGATGTGCTTTTGTCTTGGTTATGCCACTGTCAGATGGGTAGCTTTCTGATGATTTGAATTCTATAGACATAGTTTTTAGGAAATTTAGAGCAATAATGAATGAAAAGTGAGCCCCATTATGATTAACCATAGAAGTGCAATGACCCCATCCTTTATTTAAAAAATTATTGCTCTGCCTTCTACCTATCTCATCCAGAAAATGTCTCACTTTCTATAATTATGACTTTCAAATGTCCTACATATGGAGTCATAGTATTGAATATGATTTTCACTCTATAGACACATTAAATAAACATGAGTGTCATATGTCCAATGACACTTCCCCAAAACACCCAATAGTCTCTCCTCCACACCCTATCCCAGGTTTAGGGGCACACCGTTCTTCCTCTCCTGGAGGAAAGGTCTTTTTTTTTTTTTATCCTCACCTGAGGACATTTTGCATTTATTTTCAATAAAGCAGGAGGGAGAGAGGGAGGAAGAGAGAGAGAAAAACATCAATGTGAGAGAGACACGTCGAGTGGTTGCCACTCACACGACCCCAACCAGGGCCGGGGACAAATTGCAACCGAGGTATGTGCCCTTAGTGGGAACTGAGCCCCAGTCTCCCTGGTCCGTGGGCCGACGCTCTAACCTCTGAGCCAGACCAGCCAGAGCAGGAAGGGTCTTTTTTTTCTCAAACTGTCTTCTCAAGTATTCGAGAACTATCTTTCTCAAACTGTCTTCTCAATAGACGGTTCACAGCATCAAAGAATTAAAAAAAAAAAGATCAAGATGCATGCTGGAAGATTCTGCACTTCCGATATGCTCCCAGCTGATGCCAATGCCCATGGCACCGGAGCTCACTTTGAGTAGCAAGACACTGGATTTAAAGCTTGGTTGCATGTTGGAATCCTGGGGTAGTGCTTTGTAAGTGCTGATACTTGGGTTCCACCTTAGAGAGCAGGATTTATTTGTTATGGGGTTCAGTTTGGGCATCCGATTTTTCAAAGCTCCCCTAGGTGACTCCAGTGTGTAGCAAAGTTTGAGAACCCCTGCTAAACACCAATTAGAATACTCCCTCCCCCACCCCTCCAAATACACAGATTGGCAGACCAGTCTACCCTTGTATGCCCGCTGTGGTTGCTCCCCATCTCTGGAGCTTTTTCATCCAAGGAGAGCACCGAATTTTTGGCATGGGCTCAGTCAGAGTTCGTTGACTACATCAGCACATAGAAAGACGCTTGTTCTACTTGCACACTCTGGCAAGAAGAGAGAGGTGAGGCACTTTTCATCGTAAACATGGGTCCAGCACATTTCTATTTACTGCGGTTCCTTTGCCAGCTTCTTCCAAGGATGATCCTATATAAAGGGTTTAGAAATCTTGGGAACCGAGGGCAGAGAAGAGGGGACAAAAGGGAGGGGGAGACGATAGCAAAGAGGAAGGGGAGAGAGAGTAAGGGAAGGCAGGGGAGAGGGAAAGAGAGAAAAGGGCGGAGAAAGTGTTGGAAGAAGAAGAATGGGGAAGAAACGAGAAGGAAAAAAAGATGGATGTAAAGGTATTGAAAAAAAATGTTAGGCAATTACTAACCATCCTCTGCAAGAGGTGACACAAAGATCCACAAACTCACGGTCTCAGAGGAGCCAGGAATCAAGTGCTTGAAAAGTTATAGAAAACTGTACCATAGGAAAGGAATAAAGGAAAATAATACCAGAGAGAACACAGGACGCGTAGACAGACCCATCAACAAAGAGACTTATGGGCGATAGACAGAATGAACATTGTTTCTAATGGAAGAAATGGTACTAACCTGTTGTAATGAATTCCTTATCCTTACTTTGCTTTATCAACTTAACAGTAAGCATAAAGGCAGCATCTGAAGAAATGACATTTAACCTATTTTGTATCATGGAGTTTTTCAAGGAATTGTTTAAATATTTATTTTATAGTTATTTCCTGTAGCCTGGACCATCTAGGATGTTGCTTATGGATATTCACTTTGAGGGGGGAAAAACATTCTCAAAATTTACTTAAAGTCACCCTCTGACCTTCTTATCCCCACTCCCTTCTCTGGGACGTACATCTAGAACTTTCTTATAAGGACTGAGGTCTTAATAGCACTTTCTGAGAATAAATCATTGAAATTCAATCCATTCAAAGGGGTGAAGGTTTGGTATCTTGTTATCGTTTCTAAGAAACATTCTTAATTTGATGTGTTGAACTTGGGCAATGCAAGTCCCTTTAGTGACATAAAAGAAGCCAGTCTTGAAAAGATGCTGACAGATGTTGTGATAGTTTTTTACAGCGGAGCTGCTTGGGCTCTGCAGCCTGTAATTAGCCATGCAGATGGCGCTTTCCAGCTCTCCTGGCCCAGTGGGATGGAGCTGGGCAGGGCCTCCAGCTCTGCTTACCGGGAGGAAACACTCTTTCACATGTGAATGTCTTGATTTCTATAAAGAATTAAGAGTTTGTGTTTTCATTTTTTTAAAAGTCTGCATAAAACTTGGTTTAGGGTTAGGAAAACATCACTTCTGTGAATTGCAAGCAAGCAATTTAGCCATTTCATAAGGAACTTGGGTGGTGAAGATATTACCCATGTACCATTTAAGGACCGGCATTCCTAGTGTCCCAGCAACATCACTGAACATTTAACGCATCGTCTTGCAGTCTGGCTCGTCTGAATCTGCTCCACTTTTCTATTTTACCTTTAAAAAAATGCTTTGCTTTGCTTAGCACTGTGGTGTTTAAAGTGCTAATGTTCATAATCAAATTGCCAGAGTTTTCTATGTCCAGGTAGCAACTCTTTCTTTCAAACTCGAGAGATTTTCTTTGCTGTGTTTAATGGGAAACTCTGGGTCTGGCTTATAAAATCTACAGAATACTCAGCTCAACTTCAACTTTCAAGTTTAAAAACACAGCCTAAAAACAAAACTGGGTCCTCCGGGGGAAAGAGCACTCCCAGGTCTCCTTTCTTCGTGGGTCCCCTTCTAGGGCTAAGTCCCAAAGGTTGGCTCTTGTGTGACTGCGGTGGCACCTGCTCTGCACCAAGCAGAACATGCAGTGGTCCTATCTCCTGGGTGCCTGCCACATTCTCCAACAGAAGCTCCAGCTCTAGAATAGAGCAGTGGAATGGGAGGGAACGATAAAAGGGGGCACATGAGGCCAAGGGGCCCAGATCAGAACAGGGCATCTCATCTGAGGAAAAGAGACGGTGAGAAATGCAGAACCACACACGGAACCAGGTTCCAACCACAGAAACACACAGAACGAGGACAGAGCACACTGGCTGAAATTTCTAGACATGTGGCTCTCTAAGTTGGAAGGAACCTACCTTCCAGAGGCGTATGTAGGCCAGTCTGGCCCTCTCCCAGGTTTATCAAGGAGGCAGTGTCTTTTGCCCAAGACCAAAGAGTTGTCCACAAGGACAGCCACCACCACAACTCCTGCTTCCTGATGCCAGTCCGCGGGCCATGTTCTAAGGAGATAGCTAGTGCGGGACACGCGGATGAAGTGTAATGGAGATGAGTCTTCATTTACCTTGGACACAGGACTTAAACGTTCTGGTTTAGTTTTCTAATCTATAAAATGAGAGTAATAGCTGCATGTAAGTGAGGCTGGTACACAAAAGACACTTAAATATTAGCTCTTTCTTCTATACCTCACTGCATCTCATCAAGCCCTAGTTTGTCAGATGACTCACATAGGCAAACGACCTCCTAATTTGGTCCCTTGGCTGCCGTGGTGGACCAGGATACAGAATGGCCCACGTTTGACAGCAGTAACACTGCTAGCAAGTGTCCACAGCACGCAGAGCTCTTTCTCGCTGGTAAGAGTGTAGTGTGCTTTCATACTAAAATTTGACGGGCCTCCTATCGGCAGGCTCTGCCAACACTTTGAAAGTAAAACTCTTGAAGTTTCAACAGAATCGATTTTGACATGATTAGGATGAAACCTCATGGAACTTACTGCTTACATGAATTGAAAAAGCTCCATCAATAGGGCTGTTATAAGCCCAGGCTCCGCACTGTCTCCTAAAGGGATTAGACGGTCCTCATAACGTGCTACAGGCAGAACAAAGTGACCCAAGAAGGGGCTAAATCCTCAGCTGTCATTAGTATTTTCTCACGTCAACGCTGCCATTTGGGAAGACAGAGGAATTGACTTATTTTATATACTTGTCTGATCCTTTAGTACTTAATGAAAACTAGAATGTTTTATTTGATCCCTGTGGGAAAACAGCTCAGCTGGGCAGTTTGTTCCTGAAATAAAAGAGCAGCCATCAAAATACTCTCAAAGTCCCTTAGAAATCAGAACATCACAGATTTATTAGGAAGTAGGTGTCCCAAGCTTATAGGTGGCTGTTAACATTGTTTTATTTCCTTTATACAAAAAGTAGAAATGACAGAAAAGCGATACCACTGGCCTGGTCTCATGGAGATGCCAAGCCCAAACTGCTCATATTATGGGGAAAGAGGAGTTCAATCCACATTGGCAAACACTCATGCAACTGATGTACAGAACAGTGTCAAAGGCTTGGTGAGTGTCTGTGGGTAGGTCGGATCAATCCAATCTTCAAAACATACATTTGCTCCGTCACGCTTTTAAACAGCATTTCTTTAAACACAAGTTATATATACAAATATCACCCCCAAATGTGTCTTAGATAGTTTACTACTATAAATTTAAGGCATCCTGATATTCCGTTCTGCTGGTGAGGCATTGTTCCCAGGGTTCTATTTCCAAGGAGTCCAGTTTCCAATGGTGTCCAAAGGGCAGCAATAAGAGAGAGTAAAAAAGTGATTTACAAGAAGAGTTCTTTTGACTCTGGCTCAGCCATGTGCTTTATGCTGTAGGATTTCTTCATTTTTCTATTGATGTCATTATGCCTAAGCAGAAGAGAGACCACAAGGCCAAAATTAGATAAAACTATGGTCAAGTTACAAGACAATACCACTAAACCGTTCACCAAAAATGGAAATTATCCTCACACAGACCACACTGAAGAACACTTCATTCCAGTAGGCAAATTATTCTCTTTTCACATAAACCACTCTTGGAAAAATAAAAGAGCCATGTCACAACACACATGGAGTGAACACTTTTTAATTCTCAAGTCCAGCTGCTGATCGGAATCCAGGCAACTTTCTACAGTCCGGTGAATTTGATCACAAACAAAACAGAAAGTGCAGCACTACTGGCCTAGCGGACGCATGAAAGATTTATACTTTATTTCCATGGATTCGCCGGTGACACCTTTCATTCTCCAATAAGCTTAATAGTGATTAATAGTTTAAAGAAGGTGCTTTTGCTTTGGGTGTGTGGCTACTGGGTAGTATATGTGAGAAGGCCACAAGTAGGTAAATCTATAGGGGAAAAAAAGAAACTAGGGAACAATAATGCTGTTTTCCCCTCAATGCTCGATACCTAAGTAAGTCTGTGGAAAGAAGTACAAGCACAAACCCCGGAACAGCTTTGTTTTTCTTAAGTGAATTTCCCTCTGGGTGGATGCATTCATTTTCACAGGCTGAGTCCCATTCTGGGTACAAACCCTTCCAGAGAGGAGCTGTATCTCCCGAGGGGGAGCAAGCTGCCACATTACTAAATTCCTTCTTGTTTCTACAACAGGTAAAAACAAACTTTCTGATAAAGGTCCTTGCTAGCATTAGGGCATATTTAGATACATGGAGAACCCAAAGTATGGTTTTATGGCTTCAAAATCATGCTCGCTTACAAAGACCATGTCGTCTATTCTTAGTGTTTTAGTAAATGTAGATTATTGCCACAATCTGAAAGTTAGAATTCTTAATTTCATATATTCCTCTGAATAGAACTTGGGAGAGATGTCCATGGGTAAGAGACGGAGAAGGTGAAAGAAAGACCCAGTTGGTTAAAAGACATTCTAAGGAGTTACAATTGAACACAGTAGATTAAATTCACACATTTATCACTCCCGTCTTACAACATAGCATGGCATTGAAAAAGTAAAGACATACAAAAGGCATAAACCTGAATGACTAAGGGAAATGGTACAGGAAATTATAACAGACAAAATGCCAATTAACATTTCAGAAACAGGAAGGTGAATGGACAGGTTAGTATTTGTGCTTTAATATAAGGGACGCTCTGGCCAAAAACTCTAGAAAGAACACTTTCTGCAGGACAAATGCAGAGTGATTAGAGCTGAATGTATACCAAGTAAAATGTTAATTTCAGACATTTATCCGAATAACATCAGGCTAATTCAAGCATCCCTAAACCCTTCAATTACCTCGTCCTTAATTACCGTTATTCAGAAGAACAAAAGGATTTGGGTAATTCCGGCATGAATTATTCAGATAATTTGCTGGTCCTTGATTTCATTTTTGGATATCAAATGACATTCTCAGTGACCAAAATTGGAAAGAAGAAAAGGCTTGAATTTAAATGACAGTTTTTCAAATACTCTAATTTGCTGACTCATCTCGGCATGGACCTCATATTTCCACAGCCCAGCCAGCGACTTCGAGGGCTAGTCTAACCTGGTCCACAGCATGCACTACACGTCCACTGATAACCCTAGCAGGGGCCTGGCCACTTTGGGGGTCTCCTTCTGAGCTTTACCGAGAGCACATCTATAAATCCCACCTATTAAAACATGGGGTTCTGGTTCAAAGAATGAAAACCTGCACTCAGAGTACCCAAACGACACTCCCTGTTAGTAGGCGGACTTGTCACCAGAAGGCCTAGATTTAGCCAGAGCACACCACTCTTTCTGTGGGACGGCCGCCTCAGTCCTCTGTTTGATTTCGCTTCCCCCTCTTCTTCCATTTCTTCTCTCTAGCTCTCCTCTCTCCAGATATTGAGGGAGTTCCTACCATGCGCCAGCTGCCAGGCTAGACTCAGGGTACACGTGGGGGTATGAGAGTACAAGCAAGGGTACTGCTCTCAGGAGGTTCGGACACCTTTCAGGGATTTACCATGTTCTAACTGCCCTCTTTTAACTCTCTTGATTATGATCTCACCGAAATAAGGACCCTGCCGTATTCTGGCCCAGCAACGTGTGGCTCTGGGCTGAAGATGCTGCTGAAATGAGAGTGCTGCCAATCCAGGGATGCGGGTCCAGGGAAGTAACACATCTGCACTGTTCTCAGCGTGGGAAGGAAAATCCCAGCACTGTGGTTGGGGCAGGATGCCTGGGGAAGGTACTGGGAGGTGTCTGGGTAAAGTCTCTGTCTGGTAGTTTTCAACCTCAAGCCACTTGCTGATTCTTCAAAACTCCAGCCTTTGGAGAGGTTACAGACAGGTCCTGCTCTTTTAGTGGACGAAGACGTCCTGGTTGTGGCAGACACATAACAGAACGTGTGTCCCCCTTGGAGTGACACAGCTCAAAACCGGACCTGGGGGAAGCAAGGAAAGGAAAGTGGAGCTGGGGGAAGGGCGCTGCTGGTTCTTGAGTGTTGTGGCCTCCCTTAAAGCAGGGTGAGCACGCTGAAAGAATGTATTTCTAGTGGGATGTTTTTAGTTTCCAAAGCAGGTCTCCCCCATACCTGCCTTATTCAGGGGCATTCCACATGTTCATTTCTTGCCTTCCAAAGACAGTGCTGTAAGACAGAACATGGGATCTTAGATGTAATAACTTCTTCTATGTCTCAACTCATTCTCCTTGGATGCGGAGCTCACTGTCTGGTGTCAGGATATGCTTGCTCCTCTCCCAGAGGGTGCCGGGAGCCTATGCTAAGAAAATGCACCAGTGAGTCGCGCTCTCGTGGATCTTGAGAGCCCTGGCAGCTTTCAGAGAGTTTGTAAATTGTGCTTAGATGCTGGAAAGAGCTCGTCATTTTAACTATTCCCCATAACATGGACATTTTTCTCCACACAGAAGATTCTACCGTGCCACAGCCAATGGTAATGCACAATGGGCCCATTTCAAAGGTGATCCTGTCAATTAACGAAACCTGGAGCAGTGGTTCAAGATGGGGTCTCCTCCCTTCCTCCAAGTCATACGGACAAACCTTCACTAAGAACTACAGGTTTCTCTCGGAAACTAGTTTGAACCCTAGGGAGCAGAAGTGAGGGTGGAGGGATAAGAGCTGTGCAGGGGGCACAGAACACGGAGGAACATGGGGAGGTGTGAGAGGAAGGAGACCGGAGAGGCTCTAGTGGGGGGGGTCTGGAGCAAAGGCAATCACCTCAAGTTAGGAACCAACTCCTCCTGACTGACGGGCTCCGGACCCCAGAGCTAGCATATTAGAAATGAAAACACACACACCCAAATACTTCAAATTAGAGCTTAGAATTTGAAACTCTAGTTTTGAGGCAAAAGTCTGAAGTCTATAGTGTTACAAAATACCCTTTTAGAAGTAGCACTTGAACACACTTTTCCGAACTGTTGCATTGGGAAGATTAGCCTGCTTTACCCAGTGGTCCCTAACTATGCAACCAATACACACTCAGGTAGCTTGGAGACATACCTATGACAAAGTACAGAGTCATCCCCTTCAAGCATCCTTAAAAAGCATATGGGTTACGAATAAATACTTCCAGGTCAAAAATTTAAGGAAAGATTAAAATGTGGTTATTTTATTATATCCAGAGAAATTATGACAAAGACGCATTTGCTCAGTAGAATCAGGGATTCCTTTCTGTACTGACTGCATTTTTCCATCATGATTCTGGAAATGCTGTTCAGTGGGGTGGAGGGGACACTCTGTTTGGGTCAGGTTTCAGCCAGGGCCTCCCCTCTACTTTCCCAGCGTCTTCCATACCTTTGCTTATTTTTCTGTTTAGAATGATATTTTGACAATAAAGCAACAAAGAGAGAAATGTGGTGTGTGTGTGTGTGTGTGTGTGTGTGTGTGTGTGTGCTTGCACATGCTTGTCAACTGCTGGGGGTGGAGGCACCCTGAGCTGATTTCTCATTGGGTACAGCAGAGGACCATTGCCACATGCTTATATGATCTCAGGCCCAACACATCACTCTCTTTGAAGTGGTTGTTGAAGAACCCTGATATCCATGTAAAATATCTGATTCTAGCTCTTGGCTCCAGGTGTATAATTCTGAGTATGGCTACTTCCTTCACAGTCAAACCCACATTGATAGTCTTTATTGCTATGTGTTTTTTGGTTTTGTTTTGTTGTTTTTATCCTCACCCAAGGACATCTTTGCATTTATCCTCAGATAGAGTGGGAGGGAGAGAGGGAGAAAGAGAGAGAGAAAAACATCTATGTGAGAAGAGACATATTGACTGCCACCCGCACAACCCCAACTGGACCAGGGACGTATCGCAACCGAGGTACATGCCCTTAGCAGGAACTGAATCCGGGACACTCTGGTCTACAGGCCGACACTCTAACTGCTGAGCCAAACCGGCCAGGGCGCTTAATGTGTTTTTAAGGAGTCTATTCTCATGGTGGTCCTTGGATTAGGGGTTCCTGATGCTAACCCCTCGGGCCACAGTGCCCCTGTGGTCAGAGAGGGTGTGACTGGTGGTGGCCAAGGGTTAATGCTCTCTGCCCATCCGTAACTGGGACCTGTGTTCATTTCCTTTGCTACAGATCTCAGACAGACTTAAACTCTGGGAAATGAATGTTTTATTGGCGTTTTAAGACAAGTAATTGCAAACATTCCCTTGGAGTTGTAATAATTCAAAACCAATTTGTCCTTTATAAGAAAAAGTAAAGATAAATCTGATTGTTATAAACCAAGTCATCCTCAGCAGTGGAAACACCCTGGGAAAGCTGTTCAAAGTAATAGAGTTGAATCTAATTTTAAAAGGCATTAAAAAGAAATTTAGATTTCTTTCTATCAAGCTGTGACCAATTTAGAAAAGTAAATAGCAAACAGAACCCCCTCACAGAGCTGACATTCTTTAAAATGTTGTATTTATTGCCCCCGTTTTTCATTTACTGGGAAAAATAAAAATTTCTTGGGAACTGAAATGCAATTTCAGTGTATGCCTGGAGCTAGGGTCCATGCCTCGCTCTTTCCCCCAGGGCTGCGTGGATACGGTCACCCGGAGGGCATGACGCTTGAGGCCAACTCTGACCTAGCAACTGCCATTGGTTTCCAAAGTTATACGCTCCTAGGCAAACAGGCAAACCCTGATACCAGAGAGGAGCCATTTGGCCTTCAAGCAAATTTTTGGATCAAGATCGGAAGCCATCACTGATAGAGGAACACCGAGGTTCCCTTCCTTCTTGCATCTTTCCGTGGGAGCTTTATCTACGGGTCCCATGGGCAAAATAGGGCCGGCACTAGAGTCAGGTGTTTTTCTTGCCCATGTTTCCATGCTGATCTTCGTTTCTCTGCGGAATCATGATTTCAACTCGAGATACCCATCCTTCCTTTATCTAAAGAGTGAGCTGCGCTGGTTCTCTGTGCCTCTGGGTGCTTGTGAGTGAACCAGGGAAACCTCCCCTCTGGCAGGAACAAGGCAGTGGTTTTCCCATTTCATGGAATACATGCCAAACTAAAAACACAATAAAGTAAATTTATAAGCTAGGGAGGGGAAGTGGCCAGGATGCTTATTTAAATACACTCGATATTTTTATTTGGGGGTTTCTATTTATCACTGACGTCAAACTCTGTTCATACAAAAAGCCTGGGAATCTGATAGATTCCAAGCGGAACCTTCAGAAGGCTTGTTTCTTAAACCGAGTAGGAAAGTGTCAACCTCGCATCAGCTGTCCAAGTAGCCCCATAACCTCATGCTGTGCTCTGATGTTTGTAGTCTTAGAGTAGATGGTTCAGCTTGGTTCCCCTGTTTATAAAAGACGGGATGAAATACTTCTGGCAGGAGAATCTGCGGTGATACTGTCTGTTTTCCAGGTGGTGTAGAAGGCTGGAGAAATGAGAGGTCCTCCCCACCCTTTCTCCCAGGGGCTGGCCAGTCTTTACACTTCACTCCCTCAGGGCATCGTTGGGGACTTCTGTTTAAGGACAGAAGCAGACTGTACTAGGCACCAGAAGACACACTCGCCGTAAGAGGGGACAGAGAAGGGGTGTGGGTGGGGAAGGGGGTTGGGAGACACAGAAGTGGGCCAATGCCAGCATCTGGGAGGAACGGGTCTTTTTCCTATTCCCTCCCCAGGCAGGCACCGGGCTGTCAGCACTGGCCGAGATCCCCGTCCCCGTGTGGCCAGTGCAGCCCAGACTTCGGCAACATGTGAGCCGACCTAAGCAGAACCCTGGTGACCAGTAAATACCGAACCATCCAATGCACTTCCTTCAATCTACTGAATTAATGAGACCCCAAGAGGCACCCCCTAAAATGACTGCCATTTACTTTTCCTCTAGCCTGAACAGAGACCTGGAGCAGATTAAATTCGATTTGGGGGGCGGGGAGGGAAGGAGAGTGACCTTTGTTGCTCCTTAGTATTCTGAACTAAAATTCATGCCCATAACACATACACCCAGATTTGTATGTACAACTATGTATATATACACACATATACATATTCACACAAATATTTTGGAAGATTTGGAAGAAGGCTAAAAGGCGTATCATAATTTTAATTTAAATCACTCATTTAAATTTAAAGTTAAATTTAACTTAAATGATTTGTTTAAATTTAATTCAATTTAAATGATTTTTTTTTTAAATCCTCACCCGAGGATATTTTTCCATTTATCTTCAGATAGAGTGGGAGGGAGCAGAAGATAGAAACATCGAAGTGAGAGAGACACATTGACTGGTTGCCCCTCCGCACAACCAACAGGGCATAACCCTGACCAGGGCCGGGGCAAGTACATGCCCTTGATCGGAATCGAACCCTCGACTCTATAGTCCGTGGGCTGACAATCTAACCCCTGAGCCAAACTGGACAGGGCCAATTTAAATGATTTAAAAGTGATAGTCTCTGCCTGGCCGGTGTGGCTTAGTGTTTGAGCATCGATCTATGCACCAAGAAGGCACTGGTTTGATTCCTGGTCAGGGCACATGCCTGGGTTTTGGGCTCAATCCAAGGTAGGTGGTGTGCTGGAGGCAGCCGATGGATGTTGATGCTTCTCTCTCTCTCATCAATGTTTCTCTTTCTCTCTCCCTCTCCCTTCCTCTCTAAAAAATCGATAAAAAAAACTTAAAAAATAAATAAATAAAAATGATAGTCTCCTATTAAAATAGGTTTGGGTTTAACTCTTCTGAGATAAACAGTGAGAGACACTGCCTGCGTTAGCTCCCTGCCCCCGCTCTCCTTCCTCCCTCTCCTGCCTTGTCAGGGGGTGGTGCGTGCTCCCCTGGGGAGACAAAGCAAAGCTACCCTACAGGAAGACTTTGCCCAAGGCCGTGTCCGGTGTCCGAGCCATCCATGACCCCCACCAGGATTCTTCTATGCACACAGTCCATGCACTTTGAATTGTAAACATTTTGCTTGGGAAAGTGACTGGCTTACTGACTGGCATGTGGTTCACTGCTAAGCTGGAGCAATTTCAGAAGGGCAGGGCCAAGGACAGCAGAGTGGCGATGACACGAGCTTTCCGTCGCCGATCCACAATGAAAGGAAACCTCAGCTCTACTTCAAAGTTCTGACTCTGATTGGAGGTTGACTCATTCCACCCGTGACAGGAAATCTAATCTCTATACTTACTGGGTACTTGACTCCATTAAAACAAAGACTGAAAGCCAAAGTCAACTGGGAAGCACAGCATGTTTGTGAGCTGAGTAGACTCCTCAGCCCTCTGCTGCTGGAATGAAGCCCCTCCTCCAGGGCACGTGCTCCCTTTCTAAGGTCCAGTTACAAGCCTGCCTGCTTCTGTCTGGGGGAAGAGTTGCAAGTTTCTTCTTTCTTGGTGTCGGCCCTGCTCAAGGTGCTCCAGGACCACGGTTTGAAAGGTCATGCAACTCAAAGCGAAGGCACGGCACTCTGCGCTGCGCGTCCCCTACACCACGTACCGTGCACGGCTACGCAGAGGCTCTTCAGTCAGCGGGTTAGAGGGAAGGTTGATGCAGCTGCTGGACATCTCCTAGAGGTGCAATTAAAAATCATCTGAACACATGCAGCAAGCTTAGCACATGCACAAGTCTCAATTAACAGGAGGCATGCAGGAGACAGAGCGGGCTGGGACAGAAGCTTTGCACGTGCTTTAAGGAGCACGGGGAACTGCGGAGAGAATTTCTGCACTCCTCAGCAAGAGAACCCATTAAGTCACTTGGAAAAGTTTTATCTGAGCAATGTAAGTTTGGACATATTTAACCCCAAGGGCCTGGTGTGACTTTTCTTGCTGAAACAAATATAGCTAAAGTCCTTTATAACAAAGACAAGTCACAGTGGAAATCAACAGGGGTTCATTTAATTAGAGAAATATGAACTAAAACTTGATTTTGGTATTGCAAAAAGACAGTTCTTAGACCTCCCTGGGATTTTATCTTGTACCAAATAATAAGTTATGCGGGTGTGACTCTCTATCTCATGATGGATAATTCTGGGTCCTTCCATTCCTCAGAGTTCTGCATTTGGGCTGCGATACCATTTTCAATGGCCCAGCATGCACAGAGCACACAGAGAACATTGCCTAAAAAGATGTTCATATTTCATATTCACTGGATGTAAATCACAGATTATAGTGCATAGTTTTCCAATAAATGCAATTATAAAATGTAGTTCGTGGCACACCCTGCTGTGCCCCGTGTACTATGGTTTGTGGCACACCCTGCCGTGCCCCGTGTACTGTGGTTCATGGCACCCTGCCAGGCCCTGTGTACCACCAAGCACGTCAGACTGCTCTCGCCTCCTGACCAGCACCAAGCGGCCTGCATCCTACAATGCCAATGTGGCGGTCCCTGTGGTGGGTTTATTTCAAAGATCATTCCAGAGTTGAATAGTTACGTCTTTAGAAATGAAATTTCTATTTGTGTGCTCTTTAACCGGGCTTGGGAATAAACTATCCAGTCATGCGAGGGAAACGAAACTCTTCCTGAGGCAGAATCCACGCCAAAGAAGGACCTGGTTTCACATGGATTGGTGGTCTAGGGCTCCTAATACTCAAGGATCAAACCTACTTAGGGAAATTTAGGGCCAGAATGCAATTTCCTGTGATTTATTTAATCGTTCTCTCAGAGTATTTTCCAGACGCACAGCAAAGGACATATCACATTAGAAACACACAGATTGGGCTTTCTGTGCACCCCTTTGGAATTTTTCTGGGGATTACCTGAAGGTGGCAAAGGTCAACAATCTGTAGTGTCAAGAATGACATAATTCAAAGGCAAAAAAAGAGACGTCCTCCAAATCGCACTCACCACCTTATTCTTTCCTTTGCTAGCAGAGCTCATGGGATTTCCCTTGGTGTCTGTCGTCCTCCTTCCGAGTGAGGTTAAGGGCAGTGTGGAGGTCTTCAGCTGGCTGACCGCCTGATAGTTATTGTTATTGTTCTGGTTGCCACTGAGTGTCTCCATGATGGATCGGAAAGTCCCGAAAGGCCTTTTTAGTTGATCCCCTGACTCGCTACTCGCGGAGGTCCGCTGGAGGGCCCTGCCCTTATCTCTGTCCTTCTCTCCATCGAGTTCAAGGCCCGATTGCTCCATCTGCACCACAGGCTCCTCAAAGGTAACTCTGAGTTTCAAGTTCTGAGATGTCCGGCGCTTGGAAGATGGAGACTTGAGGGCACTCTTGGGACTTGTGGCCACTTTCTGGGCAGCCGTGCTGTCAGGGCTGGGCTGAGTGGGGTCTCCAGAGGGCTGGTTTGGGGGAGTAGTCCCTGAGCCTGGACTCTGGGATTCCAAGTCTGGCTCGCTGCTCTCTGAGGAGGGAGAGGGGCTATGGCCATCCAGAGATTTGGAGGCCTTGATACCGAAAGGAAACCTACGTCCTGATGCCAAGGTGTGTTTCTTGATCATCAAGTGTAAGCTTTCTGCACTGTCCATGGTCTCCGCCGTTTCCACGATGGGCTGCGGCCTGGGCCGCTCAGCCTTCCTCACGGGGGTGCTCTTGGGGTCCTCAGAGGGGTTGGAGTCCGTGTCGGACTCGCTCAGTGACCGCTGCATCAGCTGCCTCAGCCGGGCGAGCTTCAGCTCCCTCTTCTCCGGAGGGGTCTTGGACTTTCTAGAGGATGCCTGAGGATCCTGGAACTCCAAGGACAGCTTTTCCTGGGTGCAGACGTTCTCGGAGATATCCTTCCCCAACAACTGGCGAAGGATTCTATCAGAATCTTCATCTTTTGCTTTAGCCCTGGCCCGGCCAGATGCTGACAGGCTTCCCAGGACCTGCATCCCGTCTTGGGTTCCCGCTCTGCTTCTGGCTACAGACTCTTCGTCCGCGTCTGGGGATTTCCACTGGGACTTCCTGGAAGCCGGGGAGCACGGCGAACTGGAAAGAACATCAAGGACACATGAGATGACTTCCTATCCGCTTAAAATGACTCAGCCCCAGGTCAAGGCATGGCCACTACTGCCACGAATAAATGACAAGTCCGTAAGATTGGAATAAGAAAAATCACTTAATGTCTGTTCAAAGCAATTTGCAGACACGCAATAGTGGCAACCATAACCAAAGTACAGTATGGCTCATACCTTACACTATGACTGAATTTGTCTACTATTTTACTATTTACACATCGATTTTGCAAAAATTTTCTCAATGGATTCCATCTTCAACAACCTTATTGAAGGATATGGACCTACATATCCTTATTCCCATTTTATAGGTGAAGAAATGAAAGACTCTGAAAGAGTAAGTGACCTGTTCATAGTCATGAATGAAGAAATGGCAGAGCCAGAGATCAATCCGGGTCATCCTACCCTAGGTCCAGCACCTCTTCCCTGCAATATCTCATTTTTATTCCTCTTTATAAAAATAAAATGTGTGTTGTTGTCATCTTCTTAAAAGATGTTAAAAGAAAGTCTGCTCAGTGGTTAGAGCATTGGCCCTCAGATGGAGGGGTCACAGGTTTGATTCCCAGTCAAGAGCATGTACCTGGGCTGCAGGTTCAATTCCTGGCCCTGGTTGGGGTTGTCTGGGAGGCAACCAATCGAAGTGTCTCTCTCAGATTGTTTCTCTCTCTCTCTCTCCCTCCCCCATTCCACTCCAGCTAAAAATCAATGGGAACATATCCTCAGGTGAGGATTAACAACAACAACGACGACAGAAAGGAAAGTTCAAAAGAAGGCCCAGAGATTCAAGAGACTTGAGAACTCTAATCCCCAGTGTTCCTGGCGTTACCTGGGTGAAGACAGGAGTGACTTGCCCTCTGATTTCTGGGCTTCTAGGAGTTGTTGCAGCTGGTTCTGTAGTGTGACGCGTTCTACTGTCTGTCTGGGGAAAACAAACCAAGACCTAAGCTCTCTGGTGCACAGCTCCTACTATAAGTTAGTAGGTGTAAATGTTTCCCTGATAATTTACAATAAGTTGCAATACCCCCCCCCACACACACACACAATACTTTGTAAAGTGCACTTTAAGTAAAAATGGAAGTTACAAAGTACTGTGTGTAGTACAATTTCATTTTTAAGAAAAAACCTCTCACTCGCTCTCCGAATCAGGTCACTCTCTGAGGTACGAGGTGTTAGGAATCCACTCCAAGATATTATTTTTTTGAGGGGGTTGCAATTCAAACCATCGTACCTAGGCTTATAGATTAGGGTTCCTAACAGAGTCGCAGGTTAAGGTTGTCATTTCTAGACAGTAACTGTGTTTATTACCTAGAAGTGGTAAAAGTATTCTGATAGTCCAAAGCATTCCAGAGAGGCTCCCCCTCAGAGTTTTGGACCAGAACCAGCGCTTTCCGTCCCGCTGCTGCCCTGGGCCCGGTACAGCGTGCGGTGACCACACAAAGCGCATTTCTCTGCTCATTTCGAGTGTCGCCAACCTCACTGGGGCACCTGGTAAGTGAAGGACTAGTGTCTACATGGAACCTGTCATATTTCATCTTGTCACTGGCCTAACTGCAACTGTCCACAGCTCTGGGCTTCAGCCTCCGCGGAAGAACTGTTGTCTGCTAGCAGTACACCCGTGTTTTCTTCCAGGGTCAACAGAGAGAACAGCAAGGCCCGACCTTCAAACGCTCACCGATAAAGCAGCATCACAGCTCATGAAAGCCTCTCAGACTCTGTGGTACAAAGGGGGGGGGGTTCTGTCTCCCAATATGACCCTTTAGAAGGAAACATTCTGTCAGGGCATTTTAAATCTCCTCTTGAGGGATGTGTCCATACACTACTGGGAGGAGTGAACATTGGTACAACATTTTTGGAAGGACATTAGGCAACATCTGTCTCCATTTTGAATATGTATGCCCTTAGGTTCTAGTAATTCCCTTTCTAGGAACTTAGTGTTAGAAATACCTACACGTGTACATAGAGACGTGTACGAGTATATTCGCTGTGGGAAGATAACTTACTGAGTTACAAATTTGTGTGCATTTTCCCTTCAATTACATCCAGCCCTTCAAGTTCACTTAGCTTACCTGCCGCAGGGGAGTTTTGTGGAACTGGGTGAAGAATGCTTGAAGGGAACTGTATTATTTTAAAATATTATTTTATATTTTCTCTATTAAAAGCCTAATCTCATTAAATAGAGTACTCTATGTACTAGCAGAGGGTGGTAAAATGGATGCAGAGACTTCTACCTCTAAGGCAAGACAGCAGAAGTAGAGAAATCAAGGTTTCCCCAAGCACATAGGAGCCAGAGGGCCCAAGGCCTTGTCATGTGGTTTTGTGAATTACACTTGTAATCAGTTAAGGCATTCCACCCAGTATAGTCATTTTTTTCAATATATAATATATATGTTATATATATATATAATCTATCTACACACACACACACACACACACACACACGTAGTCTTTTTTTAAAGACTTCATACATTTCCTTTAAATTTTAATTTTTAAAATTTATCATCCATTCTGTCATTATTACTTCAAATACTGATTCTAATTTTTAGTGATTCTCTCCCCACTATGGCAACTCTAACTTGACTGCTGTGTTTTCAAGGGCTGATCTTGGTCTCAGGTGGGGGTGAGCTCCTTAACCCTTCAACCCGCAGGAGACCCTCTCCTCCGGTGCCCCCTGTCTTCAGGCCAATCATGACAACCTCCCAGTGTGGTTCCCTGCCATCTAGGTGCACAATGTAATGTGTGCCAGTTTAATAAGCGCTCAGAGCAAAGAACTGACCGAGGCTAGACAGAGTGTTTTAAGAACCATCATGCAGACTGAATAAGATTTTATGTTCTGGGGGTTCATGAACGGTCCATTAACTTTTATTATCATTTACTGGGGATGGTTATCAGGTTAACTATAATTCCCCCACTATATACTTTGATCTTTGAGAAAACTGAGAAACTGGCCCAGCTCTAGACTTTTCTCTCTTTATAAGTCCCTGGGATATGAAGGACAGAAGTTTGGGAACAATGTGGTGTGTGTGTTCTCCACCCGCCACGCAACCTGGCCCTGAGGGGGAATACAAAGAGCATCTCTCTCTTTGTCCAACATGGCTTAAATCCTCTGCAGAGGAAGCGGGCTGTGCATTTCCCTTACTTGTGGAAATAGCGTTTTGTCTCTGCAGAGACGGCATCTTCAGCAGGAGCTCTGGGTGTGAGGATCTGGGTGGGAGCGAGAGCGTAAGGAAGTCCCGTGCAGCCCGCGTGGGGAGCGTACCAGAGCACCTGCTGAGACCTACGACAAGGATGGTGGGAGTGAGGAGGCACTTACTCCTTCAGCTGCTTGGTTAACTTCACCACCTGAGAGGCCAGGGACATGCAGGTCTCCACCACCACCAGGTACCGGGAGCACAGGGTGTGCCCATGGCGCTCGGCGCTCTGGGAGGGCTTGTCCCCTGCGTGGTTCTGCATGGTGACATTCGCTCCATATTCAACCAAGGTCTGTCAGAAAGTGCAGAGACATATGGTCGTATTAGGACGTCCTTCTAAACATTGTTTTTAAATGACTGCCATAGAAGGTTGAATGGAAACTTTCCTGTTATTCCAACATCAGTGACCAGAGCCTGTAACCGGACAGGGTAGGGGCACGAGGTACCATCACATACAAAAGCCGGCCTCTGGCAAGCTTTCAGCCATCAGACACCTCCCTTCACAGCCTACAGAGATGCAGAAGACCAGCCCTGCTACCACCAACCCCAGCCCAGTGTCAGGGCACGGGGAAGGGAAGAGGGTCTCCTTAGGGTCTTGTCCTTTGTGAGGAGTGCAGGGCAGTGTCTGTGGTGAGAGGCTCTGTCCCTTTCAATGGGGGACTCACAAAGTTGGGGATGCCTGTCGGGAGGAGAGAGTGGACTTTTGTGTACCTGTTCCTGTTTACTGGGCAGCACACTCGATCCGTGGCTGAGCCTAGCCGATCCAGAACCCAAGGGACGAGTGAAAGGACCCGGCAGAGGCTGGGCAGCAGCCCACACTCCCACCGCGTGCCACGGCAAGGACACGTCCCGCAGACTGAGCAGCTGTGGCGGAAGGGAGCTTGGTGTGAGTGAGCCTGTTACCACCCCACTAAAAATGGGGGGGGTTCTCCAGCAGCGAGAGGCAGCAGGATGAAACAGGCGGAGGGAACTGAATGAGGAAGGAGGGTGTGAAGCTGGGGCCAGATCCCCCTGTCCCGTATCATATCCGTGGGGAGGCCCACAGGCCCCCTAAGGACCGCGCCCACTGTGTCCCGCCAAAGTCAGCACCTGAAGGCTGCCCACAGAGGGCATCACCGGAGAACCCACTGAGCCCAAGAAGCACGACAACTTTCAGGGAGTGTGCCATGACCTTCCCCAGTTAGGCAAAGAGACAGTGGACTTCTTCTCTCCACACCACCTCTTTGTCCCAACACTGGAGCCCAGAGGAGAGAGGGGAACAGGGGCTGATCATGCCTCACTCGCCACGACAAGTCTCTTGAACCCTGAGTCTGCCTGGCTTGGGGATGAAATGCTTTGAATCAGAAATAAGACTTTAAAATGGTTTGGAATAAATGTTAATAGTTAAAAGGAAGCAAAAAGTTATGGACTCTGGCCAATGGATCATTAGTAGAGGAGAGAGAGTTGATGGAGCATGGTTGACATCATCAGTGAAAAATAAAAGCCCTGCCCTGGCCAGTTTGGCTTAAAGCATCGGCCCACAGATCAAAGAGTCCCGGGTTCGATTCCGGCCAAGGGTATATGTACCTTGGTTTCAGTTCATCCCCAGCCCTTGTCAGGGTCGTTCAGGAGGCAACCAATTGATGTGTCTCTCTCACATCGATGTTTCTCTCTCTTTCTTTCTCCCTTCCTCCCACTCTATCTGAAGATAAATGGAAAAATATCCTTGGGTGAGGATGGAAAAAAAAAAAAAAAGAATAAAACTAAAAGCTCTGGCCGGGTGGCTCAGTTGGATGGAGCATTGTCCTGCACACGGAAAGACTGCCGATTCGATTCCTGGTCAGGGCATGTATCTAGGTTGCAGGTTCAATCCCCAGTTGGGGCTGCGTACAGGAGGCAACCGATCAGTGTTTCTCTCGCACACCAATGTTTCTCTTTCTCTCTCTCTCTCTCTCTAAAAATAAATGAACATGTTCTTGGGTGAGGGTTAAAAAATAAATTAAAAAAATTTTTTCTGTTATCCTGTGATGACATAAGATTGTGATGATATTAGATTCCACAGAATGCTGCTACACCAATACGAATCCACTGCCACAGTCGGACATATGCTTTGACACTATCCACATGAGACTGTTGACCTCTGGATTTATTTTAGTCATAGGTAATGTCTTTTCCACAACGAACACTTGCAATTTTTAAATTCCTGGACTACTTAGACTCAGAGGTCATTAAGGAGCTTCATTTCCCTTTTGGTTTATGATCACTCACTCGAAAGGTCAACCTGCCAGAAAGTCATTCCCACCCGCCTCCCAGCGTGGCCCACCTCGGCCGGCTCTCGGCCCCGAGCGCTCCGTGCGGCACACGCCCTGGGCTGGCTCCTGGCCTCCGGCCACGGCAGCTTTCTCTCCAATGTGTTTCAGACCCAGCCCCCCTCTCACCTCGTAAGAAACCCTGCTCACCCCTCTTCTACTCTGTCTCTTTGTATTCTTCTTTTTTTTCAATCTAACACCCAGTGGACAGACACGCTTCCAAGATGATCCAAGTTTCCACATCCACGGCACCGAGTGCCAGAAATATCATTCGTGTTAAGTGGAGTGACGAACCCTCTGAAAGGGCCCACGGCCTCCCCGCACACATCACAAAGGAAAATAACCCGGTCTCCAGCAGCACCGGTGATATCAGCTGGTTTTCTCTGGCTTTTGTCATTTATTAGCTGATTAAAACGTTTACTTCAAGACCCTTAAATACTCGAGTGTTTTGTTAAATGGAAAAACAAGGTTTTCCATTTTTATTCAATTATTTTTCTTCCACAAAAAATGAGGCTCCTCCTTTCATCTTGCTGCAGATCCTGGTAATAATTTAAATTTCTCTCTTTTCTGAACTCTCCAATTTCTCATCACTCCTTTTACAACTCGGTGCCTTCAAGGAGAGGTTTTATCCTTTGCCAGCAATAGTGGGGAAACTTCTGAACACTGGGAGGATTTTCGATCGTTTCAGCTCAGCAAAGAGCAGCTGTATGAGAACTCTGCTTTCATAGGGACCCTTCTCTCTCGCCTTTGACCCGCCAGTGTTCGGCATCTCCTCGCGTCACTTCCCGAGCCCCGCTCCCTCCTGCGCCGGCTTTCGGGCCCAGCTCTCTCCCAGAGACCGGCTCCTTTGCCCTCAGTGGGGTCGCAATAAAGTACTTGTTAAATAAACGAGCACATGAAGTTCACAATAAAAGAAACAACACACAACAAGGCAAAAGAGGGCGTTGCTTTCTTGGGGTTGTGCATACAGAGAACGGATCTGAACCGGACGAACCCGTGAAGTAGGCTGTCTCCTCCCATCGTGGCCATGGGCCACCTGCCGTCCACGGCTCTGCCCGAGGTGTGGGCACAGAGTCGTAGGTGAGGGTCGTTCTCAACAGTAAGAATGGTGTGACTGGTCTGTCTGGTCACCATGATTCCTGTTCATGGGATACACTCCAAGCCACGTCAAACCCTTTCCAACCCAAAGCCCTTCTTCTGCTCACAATGCCACTGTCTTCTGCCTGCTCTTCCCCACTCCTCAGCTCTCCCTCGGCTTCGTCACTCAGGCCCGTGACACCTCTTCCCGGGTGAAAGGTCTGTTGGGGCATTGCGATCCCACGAGGCCCAAGCCTCTGAAACTCTAGGGGCTCCCCTACCACGTGCTGTTATGACGGCGGCCCCAGGTTCAGCTCAGCATCGGGCAGCTCTGCATTCGGCCGAGGGGTGAGATGCTGACCCCTCAAGGCACCCCACCCTCTCTAAGCAGCTCTCTCAGACGCCCCTCATGTGGTTGAGGCAGAGGGAAGGGCCTCCCTCCCCTCCCCTGTGGCTCTGCTCCCCAACCTCTTTATATCACCGCACACATAGATTACAGTGATACTTCAAGGCCTGCTGGCTAAAACGAGGATGCCGCCCGAGGCTGGTGGGTGGAGTGGCTGGTTGGCCAACGCCACGGTGAGTGTGGCCCACAGCTGAGGGAATCAGCACCCCAGTCCTTCCTGCAATCAGTTCTGGGCCTTCTTTAATGCCTTCGAGAAGCTTGGTCTGGCCACAGGGGAAGGGGAACACGACAGCATATTTTCTCCAAAGAATTCCTCTAATCCATTCTGACATCTGTGCTGTTTTCCACACACTGGAGAAGGAGGGTGCTAACGGAGGCAAGAACGGCCAGCCCCTGAGAGACCGAGAGATGTCAGTCTGGTAGTGATTTCCTGCTGTGTGAGAACATGGGGGTGCTTCATGTCTATTGTCCTCAGCATCCTGGGACACTCAAGGAGACTCTCCTAGGGCTATCCTGCCTCTCTGTGTGTGGATTGCTGGAAATCTAAACATATCGATACAATTCCTTATTATCTACTACAATAGGAAAAGCTGATTTAATCCATTCTCCCAGTGGACAAAACTCCCAATTTTTGTTTTTGTTTCATTACTTGATACACTCCCCGAGCAGCAGGGCCCGTACCTGTATGCACCCAAGGTAGCCGTGCTGTGAGGCCACGTGAACCGCACTGTTGCCATCCTGGTCCACTTCGTCCAGCGAGATGCCCTGTTCTTGCATAAACTGAAGAAGCCACAGCAGAATCTTTTCCTATAAACACAAAGAGGGTTGGAATTAATGGAATATCATGGGGAGAAATCTAATATAAAGTGAAAGGAAAACGAAACTCCAAATTGTGAAGATACGATGTAACCATGCTTGGCCCCGCCATAGAGGCTCAGTTGGTTGAGTGTCATCCCATGCACCAAGAGGTCACAGGTTTGATTCCTGGTCAGGGCACAGGCCCAAGTTGTGGGCTTGATTCCCCTTGGGGGACATGCAGGAAGCAGCCAAATGATGTCTCTCTCGCTCATTAATGTTTCTATCACTCTCTCCCTTCCTCTCTCTCTGCAATCAATAAAAACATAATGAAAAGAAAAGATATAATCACACTTACCAAATCAAGAGAAAACTGCCATGCAGTACAGACTGCCTGAAGTCAATGTAAGAGGAATGTGCAGAGAATTTTAGGAGCAGGAAGTTATCTCAGAACTGCTCTTGTTTTACTTGTTCTATAGATAGGAAAGTTGATTTGCAGAAAGTGTGAAGACTTCCTCCCAGTCGCACAGCTAGATAGATCCAAAGTGGAAACCAGAATCCAGGTCGTTTGGTTCCAAGGCAATGCTTTTGCTACTTTGCTACACTGTCTGTAGGCTTCAAGAATATCATTATATATCCTTGAACTATTAAGACAGCTAAGCTTCCACTTTTAAGCTTATAATGCTTCAACCATGCCTTCCTAATCCCAAAGCTCCAGCAATCAGCAGTTTTCCAAAAGGAGGCAGCACCGTGAGTTGCCGAGTGTAAGATAACCTCACCAAAATAAAACTGGGACCCTCTTGATTTTTCTGACCAAGTACTGGTCATGCTTTTTTATTGTTCTTTATTGATTTTAGAGAGAGGAAGGGAGGAGAGAGAAAGAGAAACATCAATGAGACAAAACACTGATTGGCGGCTTCCTGCATGCTCCCCACTGGGGATCGGCCCACAACCTGGGCAGGTGCCCTGACTGGGAATCGAACTGGCAACCTCTTGGCGCATGGGTCAACGCTCAACCAGTGAGCCACACTGACCAGGCACTGGTCATGTTTTAAACGCAAAGCTTTCTCCTTCCACGTTCAAGGGAAGGCACCTAAAACTCTGAACACAAGCTTTCTAAAGCAAAGACACAGGGCAGTCCGTGTGTGTTACCATGATCCGTCTGCATTTTACCACTGAGTCTTTGTGGTATTTTCATGTTACGTTTGGCCCAGGCAGAAAGCAGGGGGATGGGGTTTCACTGTTTTAAAATAGAAAAATTAAATAAAATGTTAAAAAAATACAAGAGTGGTAAAAACAACAGCATGAAGTTTAGTGAGTGGAATTTGACATTTAAAAAAATGACCATGTTTTTGAAATAGCCTTGAACCTCCCCTTCGCCTTTTAAAGGGTTTTTTTTCCCCCCCAGTTATTTGCTCGGACTGGTCATGAACTTTTATACTTTTCTGGATTAAATTTGCCTTCACCTTCTGAACACGCCAACTAATCTGCTAAAGGAATGTTGGATGAAAACAGCCAAGTCCTTTAATGTTTCACCCGCCATGTGGGGAACAGGGCACTGTTTATGGAGGTATCTGGGGCATCAGGCACAGGCTGAACATTTGCACCACACTTTTTCCACATGAGCAAGCAGGCAGTCAGACCCCGACAGAGCAAGAAGAGAGAAATGTAATCAGTGCCTACAACCTGCCGAGAGTGCACCCAGGGAAAGCAGAGTGAGTGTTAGCTGCAAAAACAGACAGACCTTGTAGAACGTGAAACCCACGGCGTCCCTAGAGGATGAGGTGGAACAGAGCCGGGGGCCAGGCTGGGGCTTACAATCTGGATAAGGATCTGCCGATAGATAGGCTTAACCCTCTTCTTCAGAGGCAAACAGGGGAAGTGGGAGCTGAAACTTGAGCCAGAGCAGGTGATGTCTCTCACACATAAGGTAGAAAGACTTGCTTTATTTTTCCTAATTTGGTAGGAAAAGAAAACAGATTCTTTTCATTTGGAGACAGTTGGCACCATGTGACTGATCTTAACTCCATGAAAGATGCTGATGAGTGGCCATATCTCAGGATGACGGACATCCACCGGCTTGAAGTCGAGGGATGAGACACAGAAACATCAGGAGGGCAGGCTGCTGCAACTCCACAGGTGAACAGGGCCAGGGCGGCCTCCGTCTTCAGTGGGTCATTCTGAAGCCTGTGGGGACTTGGCTCACTCCCCGATATCAAATCATGGAATCATCATATTGCGGAGTGCGAGACATTTTAGTGACTCACCCAACTCAAACACCTTTATTTTACTAATCAAATAACCAAAAAAGATAGCTGTGTGTTTTCTGATGTTCTAGAAGCTTTCTTCTTTAGTAAGTTAAGCTCAGAGGAGTTCATGAGAGTGAGAAATGTTTTATAGGCACCTTCTGGTCAGGCGTATTTTCAGACTCAAGGAAATATTGCGGCTGTGTCTACTCCACACGCAAGAAAACGCCCTTGCACAGTGTTTGCATGTCAGTCAAGGGGTTGTAGGAGATGCAACACTGCACTCCTTGTGACCGAGAATTCCCCCCTTGCAGGAATCTGGGAAGGGATCTCGACACCTGGACTTTGTAAGGGTGGATGGTCTAGGAGAACAAGACAAGGTCTGTGTGAGGCCAGAGTTGCCGTAGCCCCTGATAGCTCTCCGTCCCTGCTGTTACAATAACCTGCCGTCTTTTCATACGATGTGATAACTCTTTCCTGCTCACAATGAAAGATCTTACCCGATCTGATTCACGAGACTCACATAAAGGAAGAACCATTACTTTATTGCCCACCATAAGACAGGCCTTTGCCCAGCACCTCAAGTTCAGCTTTGTGTTCTGCACTGGACAACTGACTCTAATAAAAAGATATGTCGTTGGCTTGTCCACTGAGATATTCTATAGAAACAAGAGTCTCTTCTGTGACTACCAGAAAGGTCTAGATGACTACACACCAGCTCTAATAACCAACATTTTGGATTTCTGAGATGGACATGGAGGTGGCTAGAAGCCCCTGGTTTTGGCAACAGCATTTAGCGTCCACTTTCAGAGAGAAGTTGCTTTCTGCTCCGAGTTCGCTGCAGAGATCCACTGTCCCGTGATTTAAACTTAACAAATATCTAGCCAGGAGAACAGAACAAATACAGCTATTTTTCCCAACGAAGAAGGCCCTCAGGAATGCATCTGTGTATTATATATGCATATATGCAACAGCATCCACCTCTTCCCTTAGATCATTAGCGCTCCAACACACACCTGCCTAGCCCACCCTCTGCCCCTCAGAGGAAGATGTCATGGGCAGAAAGCAACTTCAGATCTTCATTCTCCCAAAAGTACTGCTTCCAGAGAGCATCCAGTGCAGTCATGTGGAAGGAGAGGCTGTTCTGTGTTATCTGGTTTACAGAATGCCCCTCCACCTTCCATCCACCCACCCACCCGTACACCATTCGACGTTCACTGTTGACTGAAAACTTCCTTCATCGACCTGTTTCATCTTCTGGGGACGTTCTACGCTTCTGGTAGCCTGTTATAATGTTGTGTTTTGTGTGTTCCCAAAGGCGTTGCAATTGTTTAGAGAGGCAATTAATTAATACATGTAATTTATGAGACTTGCAGAAGAAAGTCTATTAAAAATGTAATAAAAAATGTGCTACAGGTTTATCACTGGTATGAATAAAATCTCTGCAGTTTTTAATGCAACCATAAGTTCTGAAGGAGGCAGCCGTGTCGGTGGCCATTGATCATCAAATCTAATACGCCATCAATTACAAGATTCGTTCTGGTTTTGAGATGTTAAAATGTAAAAGGAATGGCTAGCGATAATTTCATAATGTCATTTATTGTGAGATAAATGTAGAATCCCGAGATTATAAAATGGGGGGTGGGGAGAGTACATCTACGAATTGATTAAACAGGTTAAAGACTAAATAATTGTTTGGTAAGTTTCTCTTGTATTTTAACTAGGGTGAAATAAACTAAATAATACTGACAGCCATAAAAGTAGTAAATTGGAATAAACCCAATAACCGCATGGCCACCATGTATCTAGTGCCTACGATGCACCCACAACAGGCAACGCTTCAAGTAGCTTTTCTCATACAGTCCCCAGCACCCCTGTGAGGAAGGTCCCACTATCTCCATTTTATTTTATTTATTTATTTTTTTATCCTCACCCGAGGATATTTTTCCATTTTTTGTACAGATAAAGTGGGAGGGAGAGAGAGGAAGGGAGAGAGAGAGAAAAACATCGACGTGAAGGGACACATTGAGTGGCTGCCACCCACACAACCAACCAGGGCCGGGGACAAACTGCAACCGAAGTACGTGCCCTTAGCGGGAACCGAACCCGGGTCTCTCCGGACTGCACGCCAACACTCTAACCGCTGAGCCAAACTGGCCAGGGCCCACTATCTCCATTTTAAAGATGAAGAAACTGAGGTCCAGGGCCACTTTTTCTTTTAAAAATAATAACCATATCAAGGCCACTGAGTTAGTAAGTGGCTTAGCTTTAAATGCAGACACTTGAACCAGGAGCCAATGTTCTCCATGACTCTGTTCTCTGTCTTCTGGGCATGAAGATCCACCCCTGCTCAGTGCCCGTGACCCCTGGCTCCGTGAAGGACACACTGCCTTGCACCCTTCGGGCCACAGAAATCATGACTCACTGCCCGTCAGTCTGCGGGTCTGTGGGGCTCTGTGGCGCTGATGCTTTTCCAAAGATCGGCCCTTGGAGAGCAGATGGAGGCTCACGCGAATCAAAGATTTTTCTGTTTTGTTTCATCTACACTCACAGTGCTGTTTACTTATTTCTACCCCATGATGGTGAAACAATAAAGTCAAAGGAATACTTCCCCCTTTTAAAGTAAACTGTGGGAAAACAATAACACAGCCCGCGGAAGCAAGCCTTCCCCGGCACGCCTGTCGCTGCCCGTGCCCGGCCCTAGGAACTGCTGAGCTTTCCTTTTCCTCAAATCTGTGTCGGGGCAAACGTTCCACACGGAGAACGAACACCACAGTGTGGGCAAAGGCAGTCCGGGTCAACGCTCATTGCTACGACGAAGGCTGTTTTGGTAGCAGAACCTCCTGACGAAAAGCCATGTGAATGCTTCAGAAACAAAATGCTTTGAAGTTGACCGTGTAACAGAACCCACTGAGGCAGTGACCGATGCAAGACAGGCTGAAGCTCCCCAGCAGCTGGGGAGCCTGGACGAGCCCATCGGAACCTCCATGTTCGAATCAAGCAGACCAAGTTACACAGGCCGTCGTCTTGACTTGACACAGTTCCGTCTCAATTGTTTCGCTAGCAACATTTCTCTCAAGGGACAGCGGGGCAGGCCTCTCCGAGGACACCCCCACTTGTTCCCCAGTCTCCCCAAGGCTCTCCCCTCACACCCCTGGGCTGGCTCTGCTAAGTACAATCAGGCAGTGAAGTAAATGCACCCTCGGAGACTTCGTGTGTCAAGACGATGAAAATCAATCCCTGTCGCCCAAAGAGCTATCACACCAGGAGACCACTGAAAACTGCTGGCTACCCTGCGGTCCCAGAGTCTTGAAAGGTAAATTTTACAAGCAAAAAGGACACACATTGGGAGTCAAATGGAGCCCAATCCTTAAGAATCTATGTGAGGGGCAGAGGGCAATGGAAATAAACCAAGAGGGGGATTTTCCTCTGTACTATCCTTTTCAGAGGTATTTACTGAGGAAACAAAACCAGAACATGCTCAAGTGCCTGCTTGATGTAGGAAAACTTGCAAGTGCTGAATCCATTAGAAAACTGTTCAATAACAGTCTTCCTTGTGAAAATATTAGGCTTGTAACGGTTCCAAGTTCAGCATCTCCGCAGGTTATCTGTTACATAAGTGGCGGTGGCGGATGCAGCCTGCTGGACAGAGTTCACCGTTCTAATGGGTTTCTACGTGTTCCGCTCGGGCAGGAATGCTCTCCCGAGGGCACTGCTGGACGGCTCTGCTCAGGGCTGCACTTTGGGTCATTAGAAACACTTATCAGCTCCAAATCACAACCTGAAGAGTGATACTAGCATGAAGCAAATGTCTGACAGCTCTTCACAGAGGTCACCGCTTTCGTTTTCCCTCTAGTTCAGCCACGCAGGCCACACCGCCCGGCCAGACCCAGAAAGGCCACTCTCTTTTGTTCTGTCCCAACAGCTTCCACATTATGAGAAACCTGCTGTGAGAGCTGAACAGAGAAACTGGCATATATAAGCAACATTTCCCAAGACCGAGAATGCCGGATGCCCCACTATTTACTTAGCGTCTCAGAACAGCGATGCGATCCTTTCCTCCTTTTCTTTGGCAAACTCGGCCCGAAGGGCAGGCCGCCTTTCCACTGAGATCCAAATTCTTTGTTGGACTTTATATAAGCAAAGCAGATCAGGGACATGAAACAATTATTCTGACAATTTGAGAATAAATTAAATTCTGTCTTATACGGAAAACTACTTATAAAGAGTAGTAGTGATTAAATTCTTTTGGGCATTTGGAAATTATATTCTACCCTTTGCCAAATATAATCAAAAAGGGGGGGGCATCCTTACAAATGCTCATTAACTATTATGCTTGTTAGTAGGACACCATGGCTGTATGACACACACACGAAATGCAGTCATCATTTCAGAGACAGAGGCTTTCACAAATGTTAAGTGTTCTTCTTGCCCTGTTCTTCATTTCCTAAATTTAGTGCAGGTACTCACTTCTTCAATGAGCTGTGTAGGGCACTCCATACAGCACAACGTGTCGTTAGATAAAACAGTACAAAAGACTTCTACCTCTATATCAAGGTCACTATGAGCAAGGTACACAAATTAGAGAGACAAACAGGATCTAGCCCCAAAGTCAGAGGACTTGTTCTTACTGGCCATTAGACTATGTGCAAATCACTCACCTGTCTTTCTTCAGTCTCCTTACCTACAGAATGGGGTAAAAACAACATGACCTAACAGGGTTGTTTTAAGAAATAAATAGATAATGTACACAAATCCCAATGGCATGATGCCCAGGATATAGGAAACAGGACACACTAATATACATTTTAATTGAAGTCACAAAGACTTTCACTAAAGAGACCAGTCATAGTCTCCAAGTCAATTTTTGAACTTGAGATTGTCGTACTTGAAAAAGCACAATCTCTTGTTGACAATACCACAATTTACTGCCACTGGGGAAAGTTTATGAAGCCAAAGGGGATACGGTTATGTGCATGAGAAGCACTTTTCTTTGCCACAAACAAATATGATTGAATCTATTTTAATACAGTGCTGACTTTATTTATTTTTCAAGACTGAGATTGGCATTTTGTGGTTCCAACTTTTAAAAAAAGGTAATATATATTCATTCCCTCCAAGAGAGTCAGCGATGATTTTTGCACTGGGCTGTAATCTGTGTATGTCAATTACTCACACTGGGATTTCCTACTGTAGAAAGTGGTTGTAACTGAGACTTATCTGGTTATTGTGCTTGTTCATCTTTAATAGAGGGACACTTCTTTGATTAATGTGTTACTAAATACTTTCTTCTTAATTTCATGTTCAAGAATATCATTTTTTTCTAGCCCTGGCTGGGTAGCTCAGTTGGTTAAGTGTTGTCCCAATATACCAAGACTGCGGGTCTGATCTGCGGTCAGGGAGCACACCAGAGGTGACCAACGAGCGCGTGGACGGGTGAAACAACACACCGATCTCTCTCTCGCCAATCGTTTTTAAAAAGTATATTTACCACTTTTCTTTTTTGACAGAAGTTAAATTTGTTTATTGTAGAAAATTTGGAAAATACTGAAAAATATTAAAAAAAAAGGAAAGAAAAGCCACATGTAATTCCACTCTGATTGATAACTACTATAAACAGCAGCGACATGGTTTTTTCCTAGTCTCATTACCTGTTTCTCTTTTTCTCTCTCTCCAAAGTTCAAACTTGGTACCAAATTGCAGCATACATTTTATTAAATATTATATAATGGACATTTTCCTATAAAATGTCATCATATGGATATAGCTTCATTCTTTATCTAATATTCTATTATGGAACACTGAGGTTGTTTTAACATTTTTTCATTCAATACCACAATGAGTATGAATGCTTATCAATCTGATCATTAACAACCCTGCATACCTGGCCGAAGCCACCCGCGTAATGGATCAGGCTCGGAGAATCCTTAGAACAACTCAGCTCTGCAATGGCTTCCGTCTCGCTCACCATCCAGCGCACACACTCCAACTGGCCGTTCTAGATTTCAGAAAAAAAGAGAAAAAAGAAAAGAAATCCAAGGTAGTTCAGGCTTAGAAAACAGCTCACCGATGATAATTTTACCAAGGGAAGACATCACACGAATTTTACCTTTTGTATCAGGCTTAATTTATTTACAACACGGGTATAATCACCTAGTATATTTCCTGACACGTGGTCCTGGCTCTACATCAATGTAGGATTTACCGAAGCACATTTTCATAATTTTCATCAGTTATTTTAAAATCACTATGTTGAGATATAATCTACATACTATAAAATATGCCCTTTTAAAGTATTCAGTTTGATGAGTCTTGACAAGTACTCACTTATAACTACAACCCCAATCAAGACATAGAGCATTTCCATCACCAAAAAAAGCTTCTGCCAGTCTTTGCTCTCATCCCCATCACTCACCGTGGCCTTGGGCAACCCCTGATAGTTTCTGATCCCATAAAGTTTCTATCACCCTTTTGCATCTGGCTTCTTTCATTTAGCATAATGTCTCTGAGATTCACCCAAGCCACTGCTTATTTTAATAGTTTACTCCTTTTTCTTGCTGAGAAGTATTCCATTGCATAAATACATCACAATTTGTTCATCCATTAACTTTAAGAATAGGCCTTTTCCCTTGGAAAGTTAAAACGTTAGGATTCCACAATAAAGAAAGAAAATCATCCCGTTATGCGGGCCCCGGGGCTGCCTTCCCTGACTCGTGCCCACACTAGCACAGTGGCTCTCGTCTCCTGTGCAGCCAGCCACACTGCAACCCGGGAAGGCTGCTGTGACCTATGTAACCAGGTGATTAAGACCCAGACTTGGAATGGATTTAAATCCTTAACCCACCACTTAGTCACAAGACCTCGATCAAGCTACTTCACCTCTCGGATACTCAATTTTCTCCTCTGTGAAACAGCAGGGTGAGCAGTAACTACCTCATAAACTTACTGTGGAAAGCAAATGAGACCAAGCACACGACACTTGTTGCCTTATACTGTCAGAGTGCTCTCTTAGACACTCACACTCTGCAGGACAAATGAGACTTTCCACTGCCTCCTGGTTTGCATAGTGTGGGACCTTAGCTCAGGAGAAAAGAGCTGCCGTGGACGTGAAGTCAGACATCTATTCTAAAAACAAGACAGAGGAGGTATCTGCTCATTCTTCATTTACCCTGATGGAGTTTCGGCAGTCAGCTCACCACCACCACACACACAGCGTCCATGCTCTCCATCTGGAATATCCAGCATAGCCGATGTTTGGTGGGCAACTTCCCGGTGCCTCATTCAGATCGACTGCCTCCCTCCTCTGCCTGCCTGCTGCCAGGGGAGGCTGATCTGGATGGGCTGGCTCCCTTGCCCCTGGCTTCTGGCCAGGTCTAACTGACCAAAGGTGATGGCAAGAGACCAGGAAAGAAGAGTGAGTGAGGTCCCCTCCACTCCTGGCTCCCACTATCCCTCTGTGGGGTTGCCATTGGCTGGCTGAGTCCCTCTACCAGTCAAAGGTCAAAGCCGGCCAGTCTTCTCTCCAGCCCTCTCTATCTGAGGTCCTTCCCCAGTCCCTCAGGCTCTAGGGTGGTAACTGTGGTTACCCCCAGATACTGCACTTTCCTCTGTGGGCTCCTATACTCCACCTACCCTTCTCTTGGATATAAATCCTTCATTACAGACTTTCCCTAAATTACACAATTTGAACATGCCAAGTGTTTCCTACCAGGATTTAAAAAAAACAAACACTAATATCATGTGTTTATTCCCTCTGGGTGAAGAAAGGAATGGGAACCATCCTGAGCACCCCCTGGGCAAGACATTACATAAACTGGTATTTACGCAGAACATAGAAGGCAGCGTTTCTGATTTTAATAAGTTGGGTCTTTTTTCTTGGTCTAACTGAAGGTTTATTAATTTTTTTGATCTTTTCGAAGAACTAAATTTTGTTTTGTAGATTTTCTCTATTGCCTTTCTATTCTCTATTTCATTTATTTTCCCTTACATTTTTTTTTATTTCCTTTCTTCTGCTTGCTTTGAGTTTAGTTTGCCTTTTTTTCCCCCTCTAGTTTCCTAAAGGTAGAAGCTTAGGCTCTTGATTTGAGATCTTTATTCTTCTTTCTTTAACGCAGACATTTATACCTAAACATTTCCCATTTAAGCACTGGTTTAGTTGAATCCTGAAATGTTGGTGATGTTGCTTTTTCATTCATCTCCAAATATTTTCAACTTCCCTTTTGATTTCTGCTTTGACACAATGATTATTTTAGACAGAGTTGATTCTATATACTTGTGAATATCCCAAATTTCCTTCTGTTACTGATTCCTAATTGCATTCCATTATAGTTGAAGAACATACTTTGTATGATTTCAATCATTTTAAATTTATTGAGACCTATTTTATGGCCTAACATATAGTCTATTCTGAAAAATGTTCCATGTGCACTTGAGAAGAATTCTGCTGTTATTGGGTAGAATGTTTTGCTACATGTCTATTAGGTCTAGTTATTCAAGAAAGCAACATTTAAATAAATAAAATGCTGCTAAAAAGACAAAAAGAAATATATCACTACTATGAGTTTGAAAGCAGTATCACTTGCCATGAATAGAAATACCAACAACAACAAAAAAAGTTATTAAATTCTCGTGGGAGATTTTTGCCTGCTGAAATCTCTAAGGCTGGGTCACTCACTGTATGTTAAAAACGAACGTCAGTAGGTTGTGTTTGAAGTCATTTTTCTCACCAGACCAACATTTTCTCTTTGAGCTTAATCAGAAGGACTGAATGAGAAAAAAAGAATTAAGGCTATTCATTTCCAGACTGTTTGGCTCCTAAAATAATTTCTTGTTCTATCCCCATTTTAGAAAGCACAGGGTGTTCACCTTATAGAAATCTTTCTTTCCAAAGGGCACTCAATAATGCTCTGAACTCCTACAGTATCTAGTGTTGGGTCTCCCAGAAAACATTCAATAAATTCTGCATGTCACTGGCAAGAATTTATTATGTTCCATTTAAGGAGTTTACGAGTGGGAGAGAGATGTTCTTAAGCCTTGGTATAACTTCAAAGCTCCTTTTTCTCAGGTAATCTTTTTATTTAATACCCTATCTCTGACTCTGCTTTCTGTCAGCCAAGTCACATTATCTGAGCAACTTCTGCCCATTTTACCAAATTTGTTTGTCTTTAATGACAACAGGGCTGTCAGAATCGGGCTTAATGAGGTGAAACACTGTCAGCCAGGTGCTGGTGCTCAAAACAAGGTCCTAAAACAGAAAATGACTTCTTAGGACTCTCTACATCAATGTCCATCTGACTACACTGAAGAGACCAAAGTAAGACATGTTTCAGGGTAGATTTTTAAAGGGGGTGGCACTGGTTATAAATGTTTGTATTTACTGCTTTTGTGAAACCTATGTTACATGAAGGTATAGAAGAACAATTCCATGTCTCAAATCTCTGTCCAGAAGTAAAGCATGAAAAGCCTGGGACTCCAAATCTATAAAAACTTCTGAGTCTTCTGGGTTTGTATGTGTTCTTCATTAAAACAAACACATAAAATGCTAAGTTGGGCATGCTGATTGTGTGATGGCAACACCACGCTGACTGGAGGAGTTCAAAAACAAATAACATTTAATGTGGACACCATAGAGGGAGTTCATACCCAGGGCTGACTTCATGACCACTAAGTTTCTTATGTACCTTCCTACTCTAAAGATTCTTAACCTATCAAAACAGGACTAGGGCATAGAAATTAAGAAAAAAATTCTTTATCCAACTATGTTCGAATATATATTCAATAATCTACCTTGAGTCAGGAAAACTATAAATCATGTTATAAGTATTTCATGAACACTAAAACATTTAGTGTTTGAATATCAACATTCATTGGCATTGCAAGAATATTTTATTCATCACTGGCACATGGCCATTGATAACCAAACCCAGTCCCTCTCTTCCCACATGGCTCAGACATAAGACTCGATCTTGAATTTGCCACCTGCATGAGAGTTACTGATAGCTCACCTGCCTTATCCACCAGGCTATAAGGACCTTAAGAAAAGGGATTATGTCTTATTCAAATTTTTACTACTATCACCTAACTTGGTATATATTGGTGAACTCAACTATGCTGAACCTTGATTCACATTTTGATCTCTTTCTTCATGGTGGCTGCCTGAGATCAGCTCTTAATTTGATATAATATCATTCACAACGGAAAAAAAATAATATCCACCAGGCTTGTAGATTTATTGTACCAAAACGTTATTTTTTGCACTACCTTTGAAATAATACTTTATCATTGAGAAAAAATAAATAAAATAGAAAACAACTTTTAACATATAAAACTGTACTGAGTGGTAACTATATAAAAAGTCAGATTTGCATAAAAGATTTATTAGGGGTGAGGTAGCAATTGCTTGCTTTTAAACGTTCTATGTCCTTTAGTGAATTCACAAGTAGATTTCTTTAACTAGCAAGTTCCCTTAATACATTTAAATATAATTCCATTAATAAAAATTACGATTTTTCAGCTTTTAGAAGACATTATTATATAAAGTACATATGCAGAAGCACAAGATGTATTATATTTCCCTAAAATTCATTTCTAGCTTCTTCATAAATATGACTGAATTCCACATTTATTTGCCAAAGTCCTTAAAAGTAATTTTAGTTTAACAGCTACCCTTCTCGTGATGTTACAGGTTGTACAGAGGCACTCACTGCACTGCTATACAAGACCATGTCTTCCTGCATCGGTTTCTGGGGTCTAACTCTATTGCCGTGGGTATTAATTAACCCGCGTGGTTTTTGAAAGACAGCACACTGTGCTCTGCAAGAACGAGACGCATGCTGGGCACTGACACTCTCCGACTCCTGGTCCCGAAGACACTGACACATCAGATGTGATCCCTGAGGGGCCCACTTCATTGTCTGAACTACTCCTGAGAGCTCTCATCCCTTAAAATACACCTTGTCCTCATTTGTCTTGCTCACTGTACTCCCATTAGGAAAAACACAAAACAGGCTCCAACAGATCCGGGTGTGGTTAAGAATCGAAACTGCAGTCTCCACGAATAACACAAATTCTCAGCATCACAACAGACCATTTTCTTTTCTCTTTGTTCGCTGATGTAAAGCTTACCCTCATTGCCCAACGCGTTGGGCCGCCGGCTCAAAAATCTCAAGGCTGTTAGCGGCTGCAATGATTACTTTTAAAAATATGTCACTCTTCTCTCCCTCTCCATCCCGACACTGTAGCTCACTGGGTATCTTAATAAACAGAAATCCGACTCTTCGCTGCAGAGGGCCCAGCCCGAACCACGCACCTTGATGGCCAGGCCCGCGGGGGTCAGCTTCTCAGCATTCCGCTCGCTGAGGCAATCCTCCCCCATCAGGGAGGTGAGGTGCTGCAGACACTCCGCGTGGCCCTGCGAGGCGGCGATGTGCAGGAGATTGTTTCCACCTTCGTCGTGAATTTTGTCTAGGTTGTCGGCAGCTAGGTGTGGCTGTACCAATAGCAAGATGAGAAAAACTCACGTCAATAAATCAGAACAAGATGCTCGAGGGGTTTTGCTCTGGGCGCTGGCAAGAACGGATGAGCTTCTGGGAGCTCTGGGGGAAGCTGTCAGGGTCTAATCAGTCAGAATTCCTTGCTATTCATTCTAATGATTTTCTACTGTTTGTTGTTGTTGTTATATTATTCTTTAAAATACAAAAACTCAAGATACTTATTTTCATGTGCGACATGGTGGCTGGGATAGGTCAGCACGCTTGCGGAGGTGCCGAGCAGGCTTGTAAACAACGGTGATAACATGTATAGCAACTGGCAGGTTCCCTGTCTGTCTCCTCCACTCTGCTGCTAAGACCTGAGGGCCAGGCTGTGCTATGTTCCTGGTTTGTTGAAAGAACGAACTATTTGTCTCAACCCCTGGCTTTGCCATGAACCAGGAAGAACTGGCTTAGCCTGCGGGCTACATGGTGGCTACTGCAGCCGGCGCTCTTCTCGACACTTGCACCCCCAGACAAGCTCCTGGGGGTGTCGGGAGGCCACCTGCCTTTGGTTTTCTCACCTCTAGTGAAGTTCACCCCCGAGAATAAACTGGTTGATACAGACTGTTTGGTGAATTGAGAGGAGTTATCATTTGGGAAACACGAAAACATGGGAAGGGCAAAAGAAAGAAATGAACCAAAGAGAAACAGAGAAGAGCCAAGAGAAATGGAAAAGACATTTTCAGGAGGAAAAAAAAAAATTATTACTTTATTTTGTGAAATTATCCAATCCTATCCTATTACATAAGAGTTGTGATCAAACAGCAAGTACATTGTACTTATCTGTGCCTGGCTTTGCCCTAAGTAGAATCACACTGCCAAGATGTGATGATTTTCCTGAATGAGACTTTAATTAACATCCTAGTATTAGCCCAGGCTTGCGACTGTTTCACCCAAGTCTGGAAGCCAGAAAAGAACAATGCAGGCAGATGGAGTGTGATTTCAGCCCAGCTCGCTGAGCCTAAGCAGAACAGACTTTTCTGACATCATGTGACTCTGCGTCTAGAGTCTTTGGAAAAGCTTCTTCATGTTCCCTAGACAGGCAGAGCTGGCACTAGCGACTCCACGTGGGTCAGAGGGCAGTCAAGCTCTAGGGTAAGCTTCTATCTGCAAATGCTTTCAAACATCCTGGTCCAACGCTTCGGAATAATGATCAGGATGAAACAGAAGACCCTCTGTTCATGTATCTGGCAGGTCCACCTTCAGCAAGAAACATACAGCCCCACGAATAAGGGAGTGAGAGCCCTTGGAAACCATTCGAAAAGCAAAGAGAAAGATTCGAGTTAAAGAAAGTGCTGGGCTTTTCTGTTTTATTTTTGTTTTAGGTTAAGTGTCCTGATTCCAGCTGAATCCTTGCAAAGTTAAAGTGAAATAACACTCCCACCACAGTCATTTGTTTTTCCCTGTCTTAACCTTCTAATTTTTTTTTTTTTTTACCGTATTTTAAAACTCTAAAGTCGAATCACCTAACTAAAGCCACAAGTAAATAAAGACTGAACCGGAAGGGGAACCGAGCACCTTCATTCTGTTCCTAACGAACGAAGCTGATAAGCAGAGCTCTCTAAATTACTCATATGTATGCTGAATCAGATCAATACTTACCAGGAGAGATATCTGTCCTTCTTTAACGATGTTCAAGATGCTTTTTACTTTTTTCAGATACTCACTCCTTTCTTCTGGGCCTTGGGAGCTGGTCCAGTTCAGGCCACTGATCTGCTCTTCTAGTTTGGGCTCTGTTGCTGAGGACGGCAGGGGGAAGGCCCTGAGCTGGCGGTCTGCCGGGGGCTTCTCCACTTTTCGACTATGAGCATCACTAAAGGTCTTGTTTAGGAATTCCTTAGTGGGGTTTTCGGGCTCATAGGCGGAGCCACATTTACCCAGTGGAGGTGAGCTCTCGGCGTCTTCGGTGGAGAGCTTCTGCTGGTCTCGGAGGACGGAGGCCGCTTTTCTCAAGTGAGGGCTTCTCACGGGAGAAAGCACACAGAACGGTGTCATGTTGGACGGTGAGTTCTCGGCACTTCCTGTGGAGCAGACTTTGCCAGAAAGGCCATTGATGGTTGTGCATAGACCCAAAATTCTTTTTTCCGAAGTCACCTTGGTAAAAGGGGCAAGCTGCTGGCTGGATTTAATGTAAGGCACATCCAGAATCTCATCCATGTCGAGGTCATAATGCTCCAGTTCGCCCAGCAGCGCACTGGGCTCCGTGGTCTTACTCTGGGGGCCGCCCTCTCTATCTCTGGGGCTGAGCTCTTCAGGCTGGGGGTCTGCGTCCGTATCACCCCCTTTCTGGCACTCTGCCTTCTGGTTCTTTTGGTCATCACTCTCATTGTTGTCCAGCGTCTCTGGCTGATGTTTCAGTGGGGAAACTCGCTTCACGGGGCGGAACTTACTGTACACGTCAGCGATTCCTGTGGGCTTTTGCGTGTTTGTAATAAGAGTTGAGACACTGCAATTCCAGCTAGAGCTAGAAACTGTTTTAAAATAAATTAAAAGAAAGACTATTAAATTGAAACACTAAAAACATCCTGGCCATGCAGGCAGACATGGTCCACTCGAGTTATGTTGAAGGTAAGTCCCTGTGGAAGGGGGCCACTTGGAACGTGTCTCATGAAACAGACAGTGCGTAGTCAACACTGGAAAACAGCGAAAGGTAAAAGGAAGTTATGATATATTGGCTCAGAATTGATTAAAGTAGTGGTAATGGTAAAGGCAGACAGCTAAAGAAAACAAACCCAGACAGATGTTTAGGTTTATTCCCTGGATCGTTACACCTGCCTGGCAAGTATTTGGATACTTGTCACCATCCTGAGAAGCAGAATTGGAGGACAGGTGTTAAATGAACTTCCAGCCTAATTTAGGGAGAGAAGGGATACATGAGCACACACTCACACATGCACACACGCTTACACACATGCGATGTACACCCCTGAAGCTTAGTAAGTCCTGTATAAAGAAGGGATAGCTTGTTTAATATTCAGCAAAACAAATGATGACATATTGGGTGATTCACTAGGTGACTTGTCAGATGGATCAGGGAAAGAACAGAGAGGAATGCAGTGGTCAGGAGCTGAGAGGACGCTGGGAGATAAGCCGTGGTCAAGTTCACCCCACCCTAGATGGAGCATCCCAGTCAACCCACTTTCCGGCATATGACACAGCAACATAATGCACGGACACCTCACAGCGGAACAAGCACTTTAAAATTCAGTGCTGCCCTGGCGGGTCTGGCTCAGTGGTTAGAGCCTCGGCCCACTGCCCAAAGAGTCGTGGGTTCAATCTCGGCTCCGGTCGGAGTCGTGGGGGAGGCTACCAATTGATGTGTCTCATTCACATCGATATTTTTTTTTCTCTCTCTCTCTCTCCCTCCCTCCTTCTCTACCTGAAAGAATAAATGGGAAAATATCCTTGGGTAAGGATTAAAAGAAATAAAGATTCAGATTCAGTGCTGCCCTCCATTGTCTGGGAAGCTGGAAACACGCAGGAGGAGAACGGCGTTGCGAGGGGAGGGTGGGGCAGGCAGGCTAGTTTTTCATTTTGTTTTGTTTGTCTTTTCTCATTTCTGTTCAAAGCTTAGATAAACACTGCCTGGTTTGCATTTGAGCAAGTGTCTGGTTGAGAGGGAGCACAAAGCAAAGCAGCAACCCATCTGGAGGTGACAGGTAAGTCCGCCCTCTCTCCCAGTTGGCCTCAGTGGAAAGGCTGCCGCCCGCCCCTCCAGCAGGACACTGGAGCAGCACCAGCCTCCTCAGCCACGGTGACACTGCCTCCTGCTGGACACTCCCGACCGGAGGACAGAAGACCCAGCGGCTCTGGAAACATGCAGGCCAGCGACAGGTGATTCCCACTCCCCTTCCCCTTAGTTCACCCATCCCCCACCACGGGTGAGGTTTCAGGACGTGCCCCCCAACCAGGACCTCATCTAGCTATCCTTTCCCGGAACAGCAGCAGGTGGGAAGAGTAACCCCAGGGCATGTGTTTGTGTCTGTTCTTTGCTATTGGGCACAACGAAAGAGACGGGGGTGTACCTGGGTCGATAACTTCAGCAAGAGTCCCTGGCTGCCACTGATTTTGGGGGTGAACACAGAACACAAGTTACTAAAAGGTCCCCAGATTTAGACCATTGGTCATTCTTTCTCCTGCAAGGATGCGTTCTAAAAGCTTCAGAGATGTTCTCGACCCAGCTGAGGAGGTGAGGGGGCAGGTCCTGAGCCTGAATGCCTCCTGTCGGTGGGCTCCTTCGCCAAAACGGGCCTCGATTTTGCAGGGCCTTTCAGAGGCTCTGCACTAAGAGGTCCCCCTCTGAGGCCTTCTAGCTCTAGCATTTTAGAATCTAATAGAGTATGATACGCTGTAAGGGGAGGCCTGGGTCCTGTCTGGGAAGGAACAGGTACTAACAGGGAATGTTCCTGTGGGAAGGAAGGTATCTAGACGCTCTTATGTTGCTGCATCTCTTCTTCCCTTTCGTTGGCTCTGGTTCTTAGTTGTACACAGTACTTGGCACAGAGCAGACAATTAACAAATGCTAGCATTTGAATTTGAATCTCACTTTGTACAACACATTAAACTTCTTTTTAAATGCCCAGCGTGCATCCTTCAGAGGGATTTACAGTTTGATTTCACAAGGGAAAGAAGTTCTGTTTATAAACTCCGAGGAGTGGTAATTACCAGTGAGAGCTGGACTTTCTAAAGTTATGTATGAAATGTAAATACACAAAAGGCAAAGACTAATTCCAGTTGGTCCATTCTAAATTTAAAAGTTTTTCTATCTTTTATATGTCCTTTTCTCCCGAAAAAAACGTAAAGCTATGAAAAAATGAATGCCTGCCAGAAATTTTTGCCAAGCCTCTCTCTTCTTTCAAGAACACACGGTTACTTTCTTATTTAAAGGGGTAGAGAGATGATGGGCACAGGATTTATAATGTGTGGATATGCCTTTAATTTTATCCGTCAATTTTCTGAAAAGCTTTAAATTCACATTTCTGACAAACATACTTATGGGATGGTGTTGTTTGCTAACATTTTTGCCTATTATCTTCGTTTCTTTGAAACTTCTTGAAGATGTGCCTCTCAGGATGTAATAAAGAATTTTTAAAGGCACATAACTTAGTGGGCCAATACAACGAGTGCATTGTACCAGTATATTTATGTATTGCATAAGGTCGTGGGTTCAAAGGGCTACTCTTTTATGTTGGCTTTATTTACATGTGAAATTTTTTCCAAGTGATACAGGGAAATGGATACCATATGTTTCCCAGCTGTTTTGTTCTGACAGGAGCCATTAAGAACGTTCTATGGAAATGAATTCTGTCTGAGTCTTATGAAAACACTTCTTTCCACACAAGGGTCTAGAAACTGAAGAACGGGTGTCAACATTAGGCTTGTTGTCCTTCCCTTTTTCAAACGTATGACTCTTTTTTAGGCCGAAAGTGAAATCTATGCTTTCCAGTCTGTGTCTTGATTACCGGGGGAAAAAATCCCAGCCCTGGGAAATGGATTATTTAACAGGTCTTCTTAAAAATACTCTAATTTATTACTATATCATATACTCATTGGAGAAGGGCAATTGTATATATGTGCAAAAGAAAAAAAATTCACTGTGTTTATTTCTCCTAAGCTGGGCAAATGGGTATTTTAAGCACAACATAAGGAAAAGAGCTATTAATAACTGGCAAGATTTTCACTTCTAATTCCGTAAGTCTACCAAAAATGTCATTTACTCTGTTGTTCTGGCCCAACACCATAATAAATTCCATATAACACATGGAAACAAAGTTCGGACTGACTGGTTACTAGGAAGATTTTGAGGCCAAATTTGTTTTCTGAGAATCATGAATAAATATTCATGTTAACAAACTTTAAATCCCTGAACATTTTATCTGTTATCTTATTAGATCTTTACAAGCGCTGTGAGAACAGAGTCTGTGTCTAATTAATCTCTCTATCCCTCAAAGCACCCAGAAACTACCTTACATAAGTAGGGTCTTAATGACTTTTGGTTGGACGGATTGATTTTTAACATCGTACGAAAGTGAACATGTCTAATTTACTTTTAATCCTGTCTGCTGATGATGTCACAAATTTTCTAAAACGGTCAATAGGTAAATGGAAATGTATCATAGGCCACAATGATCTTTTCCAACCTAACTGGTTGGAACGGCTCTGATCACCAGCAGGATGCTTCCAACTGCCTGCTGACCATCCACACTTTGCCATTTATTCAACGAGCATTTCCTGTGAGCCTGGGAACTGCAAATGTTTGTGGCAGGCCGCATGTTCGGATTTAGGGGTCTTATCCCTCTCCCGCCTTGCTTCGTCCCCTCCCCTCCTGATCCACCTCTCTCTCCCCTCTGTCTTCCCTAACCACACCCCTCATTCCCGCTAACCTGGCCCGGATCACACGACGGCTTCCACAGTCTCACAGGCCATCCATCTCCAACGCATGGCTCGCCCTTCTTTTCCTGTGACCCCTGCCCCTCATCCCTCAGCAACCAAGTCTTGCTGTGGCCTGATCCTAAATCCTTCTGCAACCTCTTTCTTTCATCCTGTTGTACTGGGACCCTCACCGAGCCTCTGTAAGATTCTACCCACGATTTTGGTCTTCCTTTCCAGTCCTTCTTTCCAGATATGTCTGATTTTGTTACTTCTTAGCTCAGAAACCTCAGGTGGCCCTGTGCTGCCTAGAACAGTATTTCCTCCCATGGGGGATGATATCCAAGCCGTATCTAAGGTGGCACATGGCTAGAGATACCTGACAGAGAGTGAGGAAGCCATGCACTTTTCAACTCTCTTTCTTCCTCCTCGTTGATTTACAGAGTCTCAATTTGGTGGTACAATGAATTGAACTCCTCTCCAAACTTTATAATCTCCCTTTGGAATAATGAGACTGCAGACCACAGGTTCAGAAGTTTTCAGAGGTAAAGAGTTAACAGGAACATTTTATTTTCATCACATCCACTTTAATGAAGACCTTAAAACTATCGTGAGTGGCCCTGGTTTTCTATTTACAACACTGACATAGAGTTTCTTTTAAAGACAAGTGTTTAAAAGTAAGTTACTTTAGGAAAAAGATGTTAAATCAATAATAGTACAAGTAGTATACAAGTAAAGCAAAAAATAGCAGAGGCAGACATGGGGCATTACACACATTGCGGAAATAAGACTCCAATTACTGAGGTTTGAGAAACCCTGGTTTTCAGGATAGTAGCTAAATTCTTTGACATGGTATGTAGTAGATCTTTTATTTATTTTCTAATTTATCTTCTCTTCCCAGCACCCATCATTCCCACATCACTCATTTGTCCCTGCCCTTCCACTGCTAACCTCACCCTTTCTGGATAAACTATGCCCTGTCTTCATTGCTCCGGTGTTTGGGCAAATTCCCCCTCGCCCAGCGTCCCTGGCTGCCTTTCCTGCCTGACATGCAGGCTCCTCTGACCAGATTCCCCGCAGGTCTCTCCTCCTCGGTGCACCC